CTCCAATGAATAGATTGTAAGTATCTTTAGATACTCCTTATTGTTATATAATGCGTAAATAAAAAAAACAGACTTAATTTCTCGCTCTTGTACTCCAGCTGGTAGGCATCATTAGATTAATTTACTGTACAGATAATATACACAGTAAAGTGTTGATGTCAATTTACAGGGAGTATGTTAAACGGAACAATTCTTATACATGAATGAAAATGTATAATATATAGTATTAACTACTGTTCTTTACTTGTAGGTGGTAGGTTGAGTCAGATTCTTTTTTGTTATGTTTGAAATGCGTTTTAATTACATAATCTTTCGATATTATCAGATTATAGTAAGCTAGGGTATCTCGTACATATCTTTTCGATACATGTCGTAATTTAATTGTATTAACATTTCCTTACCTTAGGGTGTAAGTTTGAATAAGCATATTTTATGACAAATTGTGTGTGTGAACGAAATTTTAATCACAAGATGGCTCAACTTTCCAGTTTGTAGGTTTGATTTTGATATTTTTGTCCAAGTTTATACTATGTATAAAATGTAGATCGATTCTAATAAATAATCTTAAATTTATAGGGGGTAGGTTGACTCAAAATGGTTGAATCGTACTTTTGTTTCTGGTGCGAACTCTCATATAAAGTCCTCTTTGATAACATCATCAATGATGTAGATTGTAAGTTACAATAAATGGGCTTATTTGTGGTAAAATTTAAATAAAAATAAAAATACAGATTAACCGCATCGAACATGTTGAATTTTTGCAGAGTGTAAGTTAAACCTGATACATTTATCGTTCGAAACGTCAACTGCGCGAAACACGTTTAACCATAACTTGTTCTTACTATCAAAGATCGTAAGTATACTTTACTATCGTCTACAATTTTATACGAAAATTTATTGGATACTGTAATAATGAGTAATGATCGTGTTTGTAGGCTGTGAGTAATTCACGCATGGCTTAATTTTTGGATAAATTCCTTAATGAAAGTGTGCTTCAATTAATTATAAATATTTTTTATATGAAGCTGGTGAGTTTAATCAAGCTCATTTTTAGTGTTTATTGAGTAATGCATGGTTTTTGTATTTTGATACATGATTTTTAACTTTAGGCGGTATGTTTAAGATACTTGTTTGTTGACAGATTTTTAGAAACGGAATTAAATACCATTCAACAAATTTGATTTGATTTGTGTTTAGTGCGTAAGTGTTTAGATCATGTTTTTGTTAGAGTATTTGTTCCATGAATCTGTGTACAGTATTACGTGTGTTTGTTCTAATTAACGATTGTTGATTATGAGATAGGCGGTAGGTTAAATTGCGTACAATAGTTTCATTTTCTGTATAAATTCAAACTATGTATTGATCGTTGTCACCTATTATGCATTTAGTGGGTAAGTAAAATCGATATGATTTTATTAGTTGATGGAAATTCAATGTATTTAAGTAACAACATTATATTTGATATTGTAGTTAGTAAGTTAAAATCTGATTTATCTTTCATTCGAATTCTTATCAGACGTGTCCTAATCAAATTATTTTTATTCGTTATATTTTAGTTGGCAAGTTGAACGAAGCCTATTTATTTTAGATTTTATATCGATTGTTTCTGTTTTCCGTTGTTCAAGTTTACATAATGCATACAATTATATACTTGTTTCAGATATCACTGAAAGTAAGTTTGGTCAAGTACAAATTTGTTATAACATGTGCGTATTATAAACGCGTTGTATTTACAATATTTTGTTCCGACATTATAGAGGGTAATAATCGAGCATATTTTTCCGATTCATATAACCATCAGTACATACATTTTATTATAAATTGTTGTCTTATAGGGGGTGAGTCAATAAACAATGCTCTTTGCATTTTTTCGAAATTGGCGGGACATGGTTTTATTATAAAAACATTTATTACTATTATACGTAGTGGGTGAAGGTATGTTGAATAATTAGTGATTTTTGTTAGTTACAATATTTACTGTATTGTGAAAAAAAAATATAAATGACTGTTGATCTTATAGGAAGTAAGTTATTCTGGCATACGTATGTTAATTTTTTACGTATTGCGTTCCAAATCTAGCCAATAACTATGTATCTACTTTGTAGGAGGTAAATAAAGTCAAGTTTATCTCTATCGCTTATTGCGTGGTTTTATATTCGACGCGTCTAATTACTGTATATCGATATTCTAAATATTGTAGACGGTAGGTCGCATATCTTCTTTTTTATACGCCTTGATAAGATCCAATAATGTTATTTATATAATATTTTAAATTTTTATTGTAGATTGTAAGCTACGTAATCATATTGGTTCTTATTTGTATATGTTTAGATTAAAAATGATTTAATTGAATATTACAGTTGGTATATAAATCTTTTGTTATATAGTATTATGTGTAATTCATGTATTTAAAACACATTTAATTGTAACCTTTTGCCAATTTTATAGACGGTTAAGTTGAATAAAACTATTTTGCAATTTTTTATCGATATAATGAACAGAGAATGCTAATATACTGCATTTGTGCTCGTAATAATCAGATTGTAAGTTAATCGGAATTGGTTATCAAAATTTCGTGCTAAAACTACTACGAGACCATTTTTTAATCGCACTTTTTAATGTTGTACGGTAGCTTGTAAGTTCAAATGAGCGTGCATACCTTGATATTGAAAATTTTTGCGGACATGTTTTTAACTATACCACAATCGCTAATTTTGTAGTCGGTAAGTGGATTAAACATATGATCATGATTATTTTATACTGGGCTGAGATGAATGCAAATTACTTGAACTTATATTTTTGTTTATGTAGATGGTAAGCTGATTCAACAAAACTCTTGTTATTAAGTACCATGCAATTCTCATGATAACGTCTTAACTATTCTGTAAAATTTTAATTGTAGGGGGTGAGTCCATCTTTAATTTTGTGATTAGTTCGTGTTTAATTACGCCTTACACCATAATCATATTGGAATTATAAAATACAGATAGTATGTTTGATTATTATGTTTACTTTTCTTAATTTATATCAAACTTATTTAAAGTGATGAACTTATGTATCATTTAATAAACAGATTGTATGTCAAGAGTGCTTTATCATTCTCTGTACAAATTTGCGGGAACATGTCTAATTGACTGTAAAAATTTAACTTTATAGCGAGTAAGTGGATAAATTTGTTTCATGTTTGTGTATCACTGTTTCTAATTAATTTAATTTTCCAACTTTATAGGGGGTAAGTTAATCAAGTTTTCGTGTTATGTTATTATTTAACTCACAGTATCGAGGAAATTACTTGGAACTATTTTTACTACATTACAGATAGTAAGTTTTTTATCTTTAATGCGGATGATCTTGATCGCGCAGAAATTTCCGAATTATATCTCACTATGATTTTGACATCAGATGGTAAGTCTAATCAAACATCTAGTACAATATTACTTGTTAATTAAACTCACAAAAGTAAATATACTATTATCTTAATTACTTTTATATTAAAGCTTGTGAGTTAAATCTGCATGTGCTCACAATTTCTGTGCAAGTTTGATTGATTTATTCTAATACCCGTCGATTTAAGGAGGTGAGAATTTTATCATCATTGCGAAGTTCTGCCAACGTTGTATTTAATTGCATTCTTGGAAAGTAGATTGTAAGTTAATAAACTTCATCTTGCTCTTTGCTGTTATATTTTATTTATATTAAATGCATTTTACTATTAAATTTTGATATTATAGCGTGTAGGTTTTTTTTATTTTTCCTAATGCACAAACTTACGCAAAATACGCTTTGACAATCTTCTTCCGATTTATACATTACAGATGGTAGGTTAATTAAGCTCATGTAGTGTCTATATATAGTGAAATAACAATAGTTGTGAATATTAATTGTATTCTTACTTTTCGGATGCTGCAGTACCAAGTCTCGCCAAGCGTGATTGATCTTTAACATGTAAATTCGTTAACTATTTTAAACCGTATTGTCACTAACAACGACTTACAGAATGTAAGTTGAGTCAAGAATTCATGCTTATTTTTCATACATAAACGTAACACGTTTTAATTACTTGTTAATATTATATTGTAGCCAGTAAGTTGATTTAATTATACAGTACAGCATTTTTGTTGTTGATTGGGTAAATTAACAACATAAATTGTTTGATCGTACACATTATCATATTCTAATTGTAGGAGGAAAGTCGAGTCAATTTATGTAATCTATTACATAAAAATATGTACTAATAGTTTTATAATTACGTGTCGAATTCTGTTGTTGACCTTATAGTGGGTAGGTGGAATTATTATGGATTTTATTATTATTACGAGTGTTCTTATTCTGCAAATCCATGTTTAATTGTGTTTATTATTTCCAGATGGTAAGTTAAATCTGTTACAATATACTGTGGTCGGATGCGTAAATTTAAGCAGTATTGAATGCGTTTTGATCGATGATTCATTATATAATTTCAGCATGTGAGTAAAACTTTATTGTTGGTCATAGAAATTTGTATGGAAGAATTAAATAATAATGTATTCATTATTATACGTACTGTAATTACAGTGAGTAAGTTCACGAAAATGAATAACTCGATACTTGTTGCGCAGCTCGTATAATATAACCATCATAATTATATCAAACCTTTTCATTGTACTGTAGTGGGTATGTCGGAATAATTCAATTTTGTAGATATAATGTGTCAATTGATTATCATTGATTATGTATAGGAAAAACATGTGGTGTTTGTAATGAAAAAAACACATCGTCTTATTGGTGCAAACCCTGTAATTCTAAGGTTTTTGAACAGGAATTTCAAAATTGGGATAGCGGGAATGAGCTTATTAACAAATTTATTAGAGAAGTTCAGTTAGATTCAATCAGCAGACATCAAGTACTTGAGTGGATTCCGTACTCAAAATTTAAAAATATATCTCCTCCTATTGCTAAAGGCGGATTCGGTGAAGTATGCTCAGCCGAATGGGCCGAGGGAAGCATCTTTTGTTTAAGAAATGGCAGATGGCAAAGAACTGGATCCACAAAAGTTGCATTAAAATATCTTTTTAGTTCCCAAGAAATCACCTCAACATTTCTTGATGAGGTGAATATCAAAGAGAGTTAATAAAAATATGTTGTACATTTTATCAATGTAAATATCCACTTACATAATTATCACTATTATAGATTAGAAATCTTGCTCATTGTAGTGGAAATATCTCTCATGTTACTCGATGCTACGGGATTACAAGAAATCCCAAGACAAATCAACCTGCCATTGTCATGCATTTTATGGACGGTGGTAGTCTTCGTAATCGTCTTCCAATGTTTCACCAAATGTCATGGCAGGATAAGTTGACTTGTTTATCGCGAATTTCGGAAGGTTTGCTTCAAATTCATGAGGCCGGATTAATACATCGGGATCTTCATTCTGGAAATGTTCTTTTATCCGGGAACGATGTAAACTGCACAATTTATATAACCGACTTAGGACTTTGCAAATCAGTTGCAAATTATGCTAATGGTGAAGTCAAAGACAAAAACTTACATGGTGCAGTTCCGTATATGGCGCCTGAAGTTCTATCTGAAAATAAGTATACGAAAGCGGCAGATATTTATTCATTTGGAGTCATCATGTCGGAAATTATATCAGGTGTTCGTCCTTTCAACAACTTTTTATACGATGACAATCTCATAATGAAGATTTTAGAAGGAAAACGACCTAAAATTCAATGGAACACCCCTGACTTGATAAAAGAGCTGATGGAAATATGCTGGGATGCTGATCCACAGAAGCGATTGGGTGCAGATGAATTATGCAGCATATTAAGAGTATGGAAGAATTATAAATATTGGCCAAATTCGAAACTTGCTAAACAAATCAGAATTAGTGAACTTAAACTTTCCGAACCAAGCAAAAGTAGTGAATCCGAACTTGCAAGACTAATTGAAGAAAGGGAAAGTATGCAGCAAAGTTTATTGACGACTGGAAGCACATCCCGTGGTACGAATTCATCGACAAGATACACCAGTCGAAGCATATGCACTGAACCACAAAGTATAATGGAATCTAACCACGGTAATTAATTATATTTTTATGGAAAAAAAATCCTTTTATATAACGATGCTAAGTTACTATAATTGAATCATCCTCAGATTCAATTGAACACCTAAGACTTAGATGACAGATGTGTTTTATTGAAGCAAGCGAATTACTCTGATTTGATAGAGGAACACAAAAGCAATTCTATCGTATTTTTTCTACGTGCTTATTATATATTTCCTATTATATATTTATCCAGGCTTTATTGTTTTTTTTTTTATAAATAAACCATGAAATCGGTCTGTCCAAACTTTAAATGATTCGTTTGGACTTGATGCATAAATATATTTGTTTAACCGCAATAATAAACAAGTTAAATGAATAAATAGCAAGAGCACTTTAAATAGTATTGATAACGATTATTTAGGCAATAATCTTTTACATGAGAGTGACTGAAAAGTTCATAGTTTTATTGACCAAATTTGACCATAGATAAAATTAACTCAATCCTTCAAAATACTTTCCATTAACTTTTATACAAAATTTGAGCCAAATCTGTTAATCTTGCAAGAATTTCACATATTTATATGTTCTGATTATATCAGTTAATTGTATAGCTAGGAACTAGCTATAATTTATTGAATTTTTAAAGCCTTACATTTACTATCTTTATTTTGATAAGCTATAATCGATTTATTGTTATAAATATCCTTCATATGCAGCATATTAAGAAAGTCTTTGAACAGGTTTTGAAACATTATTTTTTTATTTATATTGTTATCGGGTAAATAGTTTAGCACATATTTAAATTTATTATATTTGATATTTAAATATATATACACTCCCTGATCAAAAGTTTAGGACCACTTAATAAAATTTAAATAATTGTAATTAATTTATTATTAATAGTATAATATAATAATATTTTTTTTAAAAAATTAAAATACAAGTAATTATATATTTAATTAATAGATAAAAAATATGATTTTAAATTATTTGGTATTTTAAAAAAAATTTTTTCTAAATTTTTTAATATTTAAAGTATTACTAAATAAATAAATAATTTAATTTAATTTTAAATTAAAATTTTTTTTGTTTTTTTTTTTTTGTTTTTTTTTTTATCATAAAAAGGTATCATATGTACAGCTTTATTGATATATATATACAGATGGCAATCATTATTATGCAGACATTTTTTTTATTAAATTTAATAAAAAAATAAAATAAAATAATTGTTCATTTTGCTTGAGACCCATTATATAAACACTGATCTAGTTATTTACCTGATTTTTTTTTCTTTGTCCCAACTCATGAATAGAAACAATGAAATCTGTATTACTTGAAACATGTGAAGTAATTATTTATAGCCATGAACATGGTCACTCAGGTCATACTATTGCCAACCAGGTCAAATGTAATAAAACAACTGTATATAAGGTACTCAAGCAATTTCACAAAACTGGTTCTGTAGAAACAAACTGGTAAACCATCTCTTCTTGCTTTCTTCAGCCTTCAAGAACTTAAAAATTTCATGCAAGATAATAAAGAAAACAACCAACAACTTTCCATCACTCAACTTGCAAGTGTTTGATCACTTTATTTAAAGAAACCTATTACTGCCATTACTATATGCCATAACCTCAAAAAACTTGAACTTAGAGCTTGCATGCCATGAAAAAAATTTGCATTTTGAAAAAAAACTAAAAAATGTCTGGAGTGAGCAAAAACATATGAAAATTGGACATTAAGACAATGGAGAAAGGTTTTTTTTCTGATAATATTACTTTTACGCAATTTCAACAAGAATGTAATAGAAAAGTACGATGTGAACCAAACAAAGTATTTCATCCATTTTGTATTGTTGCTACTATGAAATACTGTTTTAGCTTAATGTTTTGGAAATGTTTTTTATAGTCTGAACTTGGTTTCATTATTCTTTTATACAGCTCAGTTACTGAAATTATATATGCTAAAACAATCCAATGTTATATGGTACTTATGCTTCATAAATATTTTTTTCATAGTAACATAATTTTCCAAAAAGATAATGCCATTCTACACTGTTCAAAGATTGTCAAAGAAGCATATCAAAAAGCTAAAATTCTAATATTGCTGTGGTCTGCCCAAAGCCTGGATTTAAATCTAATAGAAAATCTTTGAACAGAAATGAAAACCATGGTTCTTTGCTATACTCCACTACCATCAAACCTTAAAGAACTTAAACAGTATATCAAGCAAGCATGGAAAGAACTTCTGAATATTACAAAAAATTGATTGATAGTATATCTCGTCATATTAAAGCTGTTATTGCAGCAGATAGAAATACAACAAAATATTAAAATATTAGTATTTTTTTTTCATCTTAATTTAATTAATTTAATAAATTATTATTTTACCTTAAATAGTTAAAATAATTAAAAAAATTTCACTATTTTAAAAATGTCCACATAATAATAATCACTATCTGTAATATTCAAATTACATCAAACATTTTTACAAAGTAAATTTGCAAATTAATGTTAACCTATCTACAATGTTAACTATTACTACCTTTGACACACTTAATGTGTTTTAAATTAGTTCTAGTGCTGGATGGTCAATGCTTTTCCAGAGCTAATATGTGAGTTTACCAAATTATATGAAGGCCAATAGCCATAATTCTCAAGTTGGTCTCCAAACTCTTAACTTGGACTGGCACTTGTTAATATATTGTCACGGGTCAGGGGTCTATCAGCAGTAACGGCGAAATTCTAGACTTCGCGACACTTCGACAGGGGTATTTGTTATAACATGGGGGATTAAAGGCAGAAAGAGGCGTAGATTTGGCGAGTTTGTGTGATTTAGGAGGATTTTTATTGGTCAGAACAGT